TGGAACAGGCTGCCCAGGGAGGTGGTGGAGTCCCCATCCCTGGAGGTGTTCAAAAAAACGTGTAGATGTGGCACTTCGGGATATGGTTTAGCAGGCATGGTGGTGTTGGGTTGACGGATGGACTTAATGATCTTAGAGGTCTTTTCCAACCGATGATTCTATGATTGATTCTATGACTACTGGATTATTCGTATCCAAAGTTTTTTCCAGAGGAAGAAGAGCTGAGAACTTTAAGAGAAAACTGATGAACAGGTTTCAGGAGCCTGACTTCCCTCACTACCTGAAAAATGTTTTTTAAATAACAGCATTACCAGAAAAAAAGAGTAAGTTATGTTTTTGTTGTACGTACCTCGGCCATACACCTCTATACCTGAATGGAACACTCCAATTCCAAGGGAAGAAGTATATTCATTCATCCAATACTAAAAGGAAAGAACAAAAAAGACTCTAGTCAGTCTCCAACATAGACTTGTCTTCCGATAACAGACTCACAGGTATTTGTCCCCCACATCAAAAGCATAAAACCCTACCACAAAGCGAAACTGCACACCCCATTTTATGGGAACAGAACACGCTAGTAAAATTCCTCAACTGCACACAGTGAATTAATTCCATCAGGTTCTACTCCAGTGTTTTAGTGCTATCAGCGTCTGTCAACCATGGAGACTGTACCTGGGAGCAATCCAGATCAACTTTTGATTTGTCAACAAGTTACAGGTTGCAAAGTTTTCCATTAGGTGGAACACATTCTAGAATCAACTGCAGTAATTTGCAGAAGCACTTTTTTTTTTGAAGTAACATCAGCACGTAGGCCTGTAATGCACATACACCAACCGTCATTTATAGCAATGACCACACTCCTGCTTACGACCAGATGAGCATGAGACGCACTCAGAGATACGTAAGATGAACTGAAATTACCTTAGTACATTTTGACTTTGAATACTCAACTGGTGGTCACCATACAGGAGACTAAACCCAGATGTCTCCATACATCAGGTGTAAGCCTTTTTAACACCTGTTTCCAATATATCACTCCTATTGTAGCCAACAGATAATAGCATCATTTCAAAAGGAAAACAGGAAGTGATAATTTTAAAAAAAGGAAACAAAAGAAAGGAAAAAACACCTTTCCCTTAGTGCTTTCTCTTTTCTTTTTCAAAAGCAACAGCAAGTGCCTATCAGGAGCTATTACCCTCGAGACCTTGAAGACGCACACAGTTCTGGAAAGGGCAAACCTCAAAATTACTGTCTTTCCTTGACTGCATCACCACCCTCAGAATCAGCCTCCAAGCACTAAAAATTTTCAAGTAGCACATAATTTAAAAAGGAACCTGAAACAAAGGCTAAAAAGCAAAAAAAGCCTCAGCTGTATCCCTAAAACTGAAATTGGCTAGCAAGAAAAACCCCTCAAAAATACAAGGAAAACATTGTCAGTTACTCCAGTAGTGGGATTTTTTTCCTGCCAGGTCATCTGGTCCCAAAGGGCACCCCTGCCTACAAGGCAGCCTTCAAAAAGTCAGCTGGCGGGCAGGACACAGACTGAGGGTAGTACCCCCAGCAAATTACTGTTTGTTTAGCAAACAGGAAGAAAAAGAGGCTATACTCTTTACAAAACCTGCTGACATAATAAGTGCCTTCTGGTACAAAGTCACTATTAGAACAGCATAACTGATGATAAAAATGTAAAAGGTTACAGGTGTCACACTTTGTTAAGATGTGCTAGCTGGAGTTCGAACGTAATTTACATGGCCACTGCAAACATTATGGCATATAATGTGTGTTTCTGAAAGCCATTTTCTCCCAGTAAAAATGATCTACTAAACTTTGGGCTAAGAAGCTGTTTATGAAAATCAAAACAAGTTAAATGGCAAAAAGAGCAACTCAAGCCAAGTTACAAGCTTTCAGGCACTACGTATGTATATATTTGGCTTTTACAGTCACTCTTCTTCCAAGTATCATCAAACCTAAAATAAACAGTCCCTCAAGTTCAGTTACTAGCAGTTGCCAAACACCAGCACGTCACTTTTCCAGCTGAAAATTCACAACTGTGCTAGCAGACACAAGACACGAATGACTATCTGGATAACCAGATGCCGAGGATTTGATGGTCTCTTCTTTAGACAAGCCAGTTGTGGGGAATTTTGTCAGTATGAATTAACAGAAGACAGATTTTGCTCCTTGTATTTCTTTAAAGCTAAGGATCATTGAGATCTGTAGACAAATTTTGCTTAAGATGAAACTTTACACTTTGCTTTAATTTCTGGCTTTGTTAACGCATTGTGATGTTAGCTAGTGGGGTATGGATGATTATACTAAATTACCACCTTAGTCTATTTAAAGGTCTGTTTCAAGTTCTTTCCTTCCTCCCTCCAGAAAAGAGCAGAGCTAGTCCGTATGTATCTAACCAGACTTTTCAGATCAAGCAACATCCAGAAATCTACTGGGTTAGATTTACTCTGTATAGAAAGACACAGAACAGGGAGAAAATAAGAAGAGGGGAAGAAGGACAACAATGTTAAGACTACCCAGCTAACTTTAATGGGTTTGTACGCATAAAAAAATGGATTCTGTTCATTAAAGTCGAATCAAATCCCCCATGAAAATGGAAGAGCTACTTAAACCTATTTCAGTTCTGAAGTCAGTCCTATCCCACGCTTTAACAGCTGACCATTTCAAAATCGTTTTAGGTTCATATTTATAGTCAAAACCGTAGGCACATTCAACATACAGTTTGTCAGTGCAAGCAGAGAGTACGTTTGTCTAATAAGAAGGTATATCCGAATGAACCTAGCCTAGAACTGAGCTCAACAGGGTCCCTGGTGTTCTAGTCTTTCCTCTCCTGGACACCCATTCCATTCTGCCAGAAAACTCTGGGTCCGGCCTCTGCATTTCAAGCAACCTACACATCACGCACGCATCGGATCTGTTAATGCCAAGCAAGGTTATCGCTGCTCTTTGAGAAATGGAAGTCACACAAGATACCCCACAAGCGGTGGAAGTAATAAAGCCTAGTTTGTCACTAGGCAGAAAAAAAAAAATATTGTTCATGCTCCTCCCCTCCCACAACCCTGTGAAACGTCCTGCGAGGTAAGGGGAAAGGACAGAAAAGAAGGTCACCGATGCTCCTCATCGATCCGTACAGAAGCAGACGAATGGGATGCAAAGCTGCTCCCACAAGATCTTTGGCAAGTCCAGTGCTATGCAAGCGTGCACTCCTCCTTACTGGTGCCACCTAAATACACGGGGCTCACCAGACTACAGAAATGGAGCACTGGTGGCAAATTAAACAAGTGTTAGAGTCTTTGGAAGAAGTGCCTAAAGCAAGCTGGCACTTCATATTTCTAGTAAGAACAGGGTAGGTTAATTGAAGATAAAAGAATTTCAATAAGGCAGAATTACTTTCCCCCTAGGAACAGTAATTATATCTAATTATTACTTAATCTGGATCAGCTATTGGAAGGCTGGTGACATTTTCTCATTGAACAAAATGCCTTATCTCACCAAAGAAAGAAATGCAGGACAAATGCAACTTAAAGTACACTGAATTTGGCTACAGCTGAAATGATTATATACGACTTCCAAAATAATTATTGTAAATTAAATTACATATATATAGCTCTCTACATATCTCGCTGGTTCACTAACATGCCGTAAGTTCTGGAATCTCAAGCTGATCCCAGGACCTGTATCCTTGCTTCCGTTACACAAACTGGATTCCCTCCATTTAGTCTGACATGCATTTTGCCACAGCAGAATGTATAGAAGAAGCACAATCCCACATCCTCAATATTTTGCAGTAAGTCGGTCTTGTAAAACAGGAATTCATGTTTAATGCAACTATCAGAACGGAAAATATTAGAGAAGTATTTTTCTATGCGCACAATAAAGTCATGTCACTGAAATGAAAGAAAAACACTAATCCCAGTGCTTCAAAAATACCTTCATTGCTTTTTTTCAGAGCTTTCATGTATGTTAATACTTTAGATTGTTATAGCCTTATTTGACAAGGGAACAAATAGGATGCTACTTTGGGCACGAAAAAGCTAGACTCCTAAAAATACCAGTTAGTTAAAATGAAACTATAAGGTACTCTGGTTCTCAAAACACAATATATCAAAGTCTTCACCCTACCCTTTTAATGATCATAAAAGATTTTCAAAGGCATGAACTGCAGCACATAAATATGCCCTTAAGCTTCTCTCCCTCCGTAAGTTACCAGTACTTGAAAGTCAGCTTTCTTGTACAACACACGCACCCCTCCTCACCCTTTGGTGTTATCAAACATCCTCGCTTTTTCAAGCACTAAGGACAGCGGAAGGGTATATCCTCCAGAACCAGCCGACTCAGTCCTGCGAGGAGTTTCAACAGCAGCAAGGTCACCTAGTACTCCCCTGCATACCTAAGCAGCTGTCTGGGAAACGAAGCTACAGTTAGCACTCGGGTTAAAAAAAAGCTGTTCATATGACTGCTGCAATTATAGCAGTGTTGATTCTGTCAACGAGGTGACTAATGGTGGTCTCTTGTTCCAAAACGCAAACAAAAAACCCCCAGTCCCAAACATAAACTACAAAAAAACTCAAACCCACCTCCAAGTGACACGAAATGTCAGAAGCAAACAGTAAACCTGCTAGTGCCTCAATACACGGTTGGCAGGATTTCATGACTAAACAGAGCTTCAAAATAGCTATTACGAAAGAGTCTTCCATGCTCCCCCCTCCACTTTTAGTGCCCCCAAACAATGCAGTATCATTGATTTCAGCAGGCTGTCTACATGCAGTAATGTCACTGCTACGCAACATGAAAATCAGGCTTTAGTTTAAGCTCCTGCTTCAAACAACTTTAAAATGGACTGAGACATCATTGAGCAAAAGAATTTGAGGCAGGATGTATATTGACAGTGTCTTTCAGACACTGTAGGAACCTCAGTTTTTCTTTCCAGTTTAGAGGAAATCTGTGTCTCTTAACGGTCAAATAATGTAGACATCGTTACAAAACAATAAACACAGCTGGAGTAGGATACAGAAATACTCTGCTTAGTGGTCGCAGGTTACACTACGTATAATTTGTGGTGATGTACAGCTTCGACAAATACCACAACTGCAGACCAATGCACAAAGTGCCACCCCTACATGTGATCAAACATCTGCAAATAAATGTGCTTGCTTGCTTCTTTTGGAGAGTAAGTTCTTCCACAGATAGTGGCTTCAGGGACTATGCTACTTCTTAATGTATGCAGAGCCCCACTAATCACAACAGGACATCCATCAATCCCCAACATGTCCTAGGGAAAATTATGACACTAGTTTTGGAGCACAGCCTTCCTGTTGCCTTTTCTTTTTTTTTTTTTTTTTCCTTTTTTTTTTTTTTTTTTTTTTTTTTTTTTTTTTTTTTTTTTTCTTCCACTGTCAGCCTT